GCAAAGTGTCACATGAATTTACACGACCGGTAGAAATGCAGAAACACAGTACACGTGGAGACACAAGCAGCCATTTAAGAAAAAAAAAAAAAAAGTATAGGCAGAGCGCCGTGGACAGGTCAACACAAGTCTGAGACAGGTTGCTCAACACAGCTGTGCCAGAAACCTTGATGGACTTAATATTGATCATGCTTACCTGGGTTTTGTTGCGGCAACCACGACATTCGTACGTGTGTGTCCGTGTGTTGGCGATGGCCATCAGTCCGCACAGGTTACAAACGTGCACCTGGTAGGGATCAGATGCCTCGAACAGACGCTCCCTCAGGAACTGAGCTGCTCCGTGAGCAATCTGACAGTCACGCTCCATCTCGCCAAACCGCAAACCACCATCACTGAGGATGGACGGACGAGATCAGACATTAATCTCTTTTTACTGAGCACAGGCAGGCTGATGCCGGGCGCAGACATGCGCAGCCACGGACAGGTGCGTTACTCACCGTGAGCGCCCCTCCATGGGTTGTCGGTTGAGAATCTGGACCGGGCCGCGGGCTCTCGAGTGGATCTTATCGTCCACCATGTGCTTCAGGCGCTGGTAATAAGTTGGGCCGATGAAGATCTGAGACGTCAGCTTCCTCCCAGTGAAGCCGTTATACAGAACCTGATCACAAACCAGTACTCAATATAAATATTCAAAAGCATCAGACTCCGCCAATAGGAAGTGTGACCTTGCGCTGACCTCATTCCCTCTGAGATGGTATCCATATTCAGACAGCAAGTTTGACACCTTCTGCACGTTGACGGCATCGTTAAATGGCGTGGCGTCACCGATCTCACCTTTGTTGGCAGACACCTGAAACAAGACAGAGTCACCCGTCAGCCTGCAAGTCAAAAGCTCGGGTACATGTTTATCTTTGTTTGCACAACATAAGCAACAACGATGAGGCTCCATCACACCTACAGTCGTGGCCTAAAGTTTTGAGAATGACACAAATACTGGTTTTCACAAAGTTTGCTGCTTCAGTTTTTATGATAGCAATTTCATTGTACTCTAGAATGTTATGGAGAGTGATCAGATGAATTGCTAAATTCTTCTTTGCCATGAAAATGAACTTAATCTCAAAAATTCAATTTCCACTGCATTTCATCATTCAGCATTTCATGCCATAAAGGGACCTGCTGAGATAATTTCAATAATGTTCTCATCAACTCAGGTGAGAATGTTGACAAGCACAAGGCTGGAGATCATTATGTGCTGACTGAGTTAGAATAGAAGACTGGATGCATTAAAAGGAGGGTGATGCTTGAAATTGTTGTTCTTCCTATTAAACATGGTTACCTGCAAGGAAACACATCATTGTGTAGCATAAAAATGGCTTCACAGGCAAGGATGTTGTTGCTACTAAGACTGCACCTAAATCAACCATTTATCTGATCATCAAGAACTTCAAGGAAAGAGGTTCAATTATTGTGAAGACGGCTTCAGGGCGCTCAAGAAAGTCCAGCAAGCACCAGGACCGCCTCCTAAAGATGATTCAGCTGCAGTATCAGAGTGCCACCAGTGCAGAGCTTGCTCAGGAATGGTAGCAGGTAGGTGTGAGCGCATCTGTACGCACAGTGAGGCGAAGACTTTTGGCAGATGGCCTGGTGTCAAGAAGGGAAGCAAAGAAGCCACTTCTCTCCAAAAAAAACATGAGGGACGAACTGATATTCTGCAAAAAGTACAGCGAGTGGACTGCTGAGGAGTGGGATAAAGTCATTTTCTCTGATGAAGCCCCTCTCCGATTGTTTGGGGCATCTGGAAAAAGGCTTGTCCGGAGAAGAAAAGGTGAGCGCTACCATCAGTGCTGTCTCATGCCAACAGTAAAGCATCCTGAGACCATTTATGTGTGGGGCTGCTTCTCATCCAAGGGAGTAGGCTCACTCACAATTTTGCCAAAAACAGCCATGAATAAAGAATGGAACCAAAACATCCTCTGAAAGCAACTTCTTCCAACCATCCAAGAACAGTCTGATGAAGAACAATGCATTTTCCAGCACGATGGATCACCATGCCATAAGGCCAAAGTGATACCTAAGTAGCTCGGGGAACAAATCATTTTGGGTCCATGGCCAGGGAACTCCCCAGACCTCAGTCCAATTGAGAACTTGCGGTCAATCCTCAAGAGGCAGGTGGACAAACAAAACCCCACTAATTCTGACAAACTCCAAGCATTGATTATGACAGAATGGGTTGACATCAGTTAGGATTTGGCCCAGAAGTTGATTGGCAACATGCAGAGGTCTTGAAAAAGAAGGGCCAACACTGCAAATATTCACTCTTTGCATAAACAACAACAACAACAACAACAACCTTTATTTATAGAGCACATTAAAAGCCTTAGGCATACCAAAGTGCTTTACAAAAAAACAATAAAATAATACAGTTAAGAGCATTAATATCAAATATAATAAGAACAGCAGACAATGTTCACAGTAAAAAGCCACTGATAAAATGGACTGCAGCACATAGATTATAGCAGACCCAGTGCCGCATGATAGAGAACACCAAGAATGAAGGAGTAGTAAAAAGTTAATGCAATAGGTCGCAGTTAACAAGTCAGCATTTGACGGGTAGAGAAGGCAAGTTCAAAAAGATAGGTTTTAAGGCGTGCTTTAAAAGAAAAAATAGAATCAGACTCCCGGATGCCAATCGGGAGGCTGTTCCATAACTCAGGTGCAGCAAAGGCAAACGATCGATCGCCTCTAGATTTCAACCGAGATCTGGGCTGAACTAACAATAACTGCGAGGATGACCTGGCAGGGACATAAGGGTTTAAAAGTTCCTTAAGATAGGTTGGTGCAGTATTATTGATAATTTTAAAAGTAAACAGCAAAATTTTAAATTGAATGCGGTATTTGATAGGCAGCCAATGCAGCTCAGCAAGAACAGGAGTAATATGGTCAAACTTCTTGGTTTTAGTTAGAATGTAAACGTGATGTAATTCTCAATAAAAGCATTTGATACTTATGAAGTGCTTGTAATTATACTTCAATACATCATAGAAACAACTGACACAAAGATCCAAAAACACTGAAGCGGCAAACTTTGTGAAAACTAATATTCGTGTCATTCTCAAAACTTTTGGCCACGACTGTATGTGTGCACTTCACTTCATTTTCTGCCCAACATCAAGAGATTTTACTTAAACACAGAGCTGCTAACATAATTAGCAAACACTTTATTCACGCTTTCATCGCATCGTTTCATACGTTCTTTTCAATCGTTCTTGCAGAGATTTCTAATTATGAGGCCCACGAATGCACAGGTGTTTATTTTAACTGCACACCATCTTCAGTCCTCCACATCCAAATGAGCAGCGTTAGCTTCAAAACTCCACACCTGGTGCTCAGATGAGTCTTTACGGTGAAGTAAAAGTGTATTTGGGTACCTGAGCCTCTGATAGTGCAGAAGGCTTCAGCAGCTAGCAGCTGATCCCCACAGTGTCAAAATGAAAGGTGTGAAATAACCCAAACTCTTCGCCTCTGTCAGTGCACCCCAGGGTGGCTGTGGCTACAATGTAGCTTGCCATCACCAGTGTGTGAATGTGTGTATGAATGGGTGGATGACTGGATGTGTAAAGCGCTTTGGGGTCCTTAGGGACTAGTAAAGCGCTATACAAATACAGGCCATTTTTTTTCTCTTCATTTACCTGTCATCAGGTAAGAGAAGCAAGAGATCTGAAATTGGGCTTTAAAGCTAGCACAGGGTTGCAGAGTAGCCTGAGCTAACAGCTTTCAGAAATCTTTTCAGGAAGACACATGCTAGCACAACTGTCAAAATAAAAGCCTTATTATGACAAAAACCTTGTACTTTGTCACAGAGTTAGACTTCTTTACCTTAAAGATCAGTTGTTATAAATTAATTAAAGAACTGCTACAATTTGACTGTTGTTGTGACTGGCACTATGTGAATAAACTGATGTGTAATTATCGTTACCTTCCCCTGCAGACACTCAATCAAATGGCCGACTGTCATTCTGGACGGAATTGCGTGAGGGTTGATGATGATGTCAGGAGTGATCCCCTCACAGGTGAATGGCATGTCCTTCAAAATAAAGCAAATCAATGAGAGCCTTCAAAAATAAAATCTCAGTTTTGATTGTTTTTGTACTTTGAGCATCTTTGCTGTTTCCTTTCCTGTTGTGTTAAAAAATATAACTTTAATGAATCCTTCGTGTGTATGGGGAGCGGTGCCCTGATGATAGGTACGTGACCTGCTGGGATTACCTCCTGTCTGTACTGGATCCCACAGGTTCCCTTCTGTCCGTGTCGGCTGGCAAATTTGTCGCCGATCTGAGGAATTCGGACAGAGCGTACCTGCCGGAAACACGAAGCTGTTAAACTGTGGCCGTGTCATCTGACCTCTCAGGTGTCTCAGGTGTGCGCTCACCCTGATTTTGCAGAACTTGTAGCCCTCCTGATTCAGGGTCACCATGACCTGGTCCACGATGCCCGTCTCACTGGTCCTCAGAAACGTGCTGCAGTCTCTCTTCGTGTAGCGGCGGTTCGTGCTATCCAGCTCGTCGTCATTCTCTGGCAGTGTCACCGTCTTCCCAATGATCACGTCCTCGCCAGAAACACGGACGCCAGGTGCAATGAGTCCATCGTCATCCAGTTTGTCATAGATGGCATGTCGCATCCCTGGGCGTGATAAGAATATGATTAGCCCCGCCTCCTAAAACCTGACCGGTTGTCAGACCCGAGGTATTTTTCTATAAATGGCACACTGGGTGTGGCTCTCTCTGCAGTAGAGTATCACTTCCTGTTCCAGTACACAGCTTGTATAGGTTATCTATGTAACCAATTGAATTAAAGCTTATAGAAAACTTCTTATTTCATACTGCATCTTCACATGATTTATCCAAAGCGCACTCTGTTGATTACATTCACAATGATACTTGTAGTGTAGTGTTTGCAGCTCTGTACCAAGGTAGCGAAGGCTCTGTTAGTTCTCCTCCAGCAGACAGTACCAAGCAGCTGGGAAAACATGATGGCTGGGTGACCGTGAGGAGGAAGCGTAGTGTTAAACAGAAGCCCTGGGTACACCACCAACCTATTTATGTGTCTAAATGTTTTTCCCCACACTGTGACACACACCCTGGGGAATAAACACTAGAGTAAGTGTTGATTTTGTTTTGAGACATGTCAAACTAGAAACCTGCAATCATAATCGATTGTCTTCCAGGGCCCATCACAGTAGATTTCTTTCTGAAAGCGCTGTACTAACACAGAGCAGAGCAGCTATCTGAACGCTACTCCAACAGAGGTCGATCATCTTGTTTATAATTTCACCTCCTCACTAATAGTGCTGCAATAAACTATTATTTTGATAGTCGAATAGTCACCAATGGTTTTTTTTGGGATTAGTCGACTAATCAGATCATGCATCCATTGGACGTGAAACGTACAGCTTATTGCACCAGCAGCATCTGCTCTTATATAACTATCATTAGCTTACAGCTTTAAATGTTTAAGGTATGCGCTAGCTAAAAATAAAGACAAGATGATAATTTATTAAACTTTTAAGGAAATTTGCAGATTGTTTCGGTGGAGATTAATAAACTCAGCCGTCTGCTCCTTGCTATCTAAAATATAACAGGACACCGGGGTAAACTCTCGACCATCTCACACTTCTGTTTAATCAGCTGTGTAAAAACTATAACGTTAATCTCAGCCAAACCGATTTACTAAGGAACAATAACAGTTTTAAGTTATCTGAGTGACTTATATATCATGTTTAACCTGAGTAGAGAAAGACAGCGGGGGTTTGAAAATGATGTGCCCGGAGTTCGCTGTTCTTGCCGGCTCTAGTGAGCCTTGAACCCCGGCTAGCTAGCCCACAGATGTAATATTATCTACAGCTACTTTTAGTACCGTTGATGTTAAGTTAGACTCTTTTTCTCCAATTGATCTTTCTGAGTTAACTTCCATAATTACTTCCTCCAAACCATCAACGTGTCTTTTAGACCCCATTCCTACAAAACTGCTCAAAGAAGTCCTGCCATTAATTAATGTCCCTGACCATCTCTGATTGATTTAGACCACAATATGGGCATAATGTGTGTCTGTTGTTGACGCTGAACACGCTGAATAAAATAAAATAAAAAAAAGTCTCTGCAACTCTGAAAGTGTCCAAGAGACTTTTTTTTTTTTTTGAACAGTTGGTCGCACCGGTGCGACCTAAGACCAAATGGGTCGCACTCTAGAGCCCTGTAGGGGGTCATATGATTGTTGTTTTTTTCTGTATGTATTATTGTAGGGTCTACCTTATAATATAAAGCACCTTGAGGCAACTGTTGTTGTGATTTGGTGCTGTATAAATAAAACTGAATTGAACCAAGATGAATTAATGAGTTCTCACCTTGACAGGTTTCACGCGTCGGCTTCTCAAAGATCTCCTCCTGATCAAAGCCTTTCTTAGACTCCTGCTCTTTGTATGACCGATAGAACACAGACCTGCCAGGTGAAATCACACTTTTAACACTCCTGTCACACATGTGGTCACAGGTGCATCAGCCAACAACTTACCTGAAGAAGCCTCGATCCACGGCTGACCTGTTCATGATCACAGAGTCTTCCTGGTTGTAGCCAGTGTATGAGGCGATCGCCACAATCGAGTTAATACCTGTGTGAGAGGTGTGAGAACTTTTATACGTGAGCATCTCAGTGGACAGTTGAGCATCTCAGTGGGCAGTTGAGCATACCTGCGGGGAGCTCCCTGAAGCGCAGGTACTCCATGGAGCGGGTGGTGACGAGTGGTTTCTGAGGGTAGTACAGCACGTGAGCGAGCGTGTCCATTCGAACATGGAAGTTGGTGATGTAAACACCCATGGCCTGCTTCCCCATGGCGGACTGATATGTGTTCCTGGGAGACTGAAAACATGCGTGTTCAGGCCCAAGCTTCCTGTTTGCTTGCTTATCTATTTATCTGTTTGCTTGTTTATTAGTTTGTTTTGTCTGAGTACCTGGTTGTGATCAGGGAATGGGATGATGGACGCACACACTCCAAGGATCATAGATGGATGGATCTCACAGTGGGTGTAGGTGGAACAATAGGCCACGCCTTTCTCCTGGAGGTCATCTGGGGTCATAGCGAGCATGACGGTCTCCTCTTCTAGGGTGTCTATGTACTCCACCACACCACTGGCCACTAAGTCCTGCCAGCTAAGTGCCAAAGAACATTTATGTCAACACCACCTGAAGCATCTGCAGCAATTGCCAACCTTCAGCACCATCTCAACTGTCTGTATTCTGCCTCACCTGTAGTTGTTATACTCGCGCTCCTTCAGCTGGTCGATGTGGCGTCTCTTCAGCAGCAGTTTCTGTTTCTCGACAATCAGCAGCGGTCGGCAGATTCGTCCAGCGTCCGTGTAAATTCTGATCTCACGCTCTCTAATGTCTCTGATCATCGACACCTGAAACGGTCAGGCGAGTTCTCAGTGATTGATCAACAGCCTGGTGGGCCTAACAAGGATTTCAATTAAATACCATCAAATATTTGATCAGGTAAACCGTTTGAATGACCAAGCGCTGCCCCGCCAATCAATAACTCAAATTCTGAAGGTTTGTGTTAACATCCTGTCTGCCACAGACGATTATTTTGATAGTCGACTAATCAGATCATGCATCCATTGGACGTGAAACGTACAGCTTATTGCACCAGCAGCATCTGCTCTTATACAACTATCATTAGCTTACAGCTTATAGTGTTTCAGGTATGTGCTAACTAAAAATAAAGACAAGAAGATAATTTATTAAACTTTCAATGAAGTTTGCAGATTGTTTCGGTGGAGTTTAATAAACTCAGCCGTCTGCTCCTTGCTATCTAAAATATAACAGGACACTGGAGTAAACTCTCGACCATTTCACACTTCTGTATAATCAGTTTTCTGTCTGACGTTTATTCAGCTGTGTAAAAACTATAACTTTAATCGCAGCCAAACTGATTTACTCAGGAACAAATAAAACTGAAAAAAACAAACAATAACATGTTTAAGTTATCTAAGTGACTCATATATCATGTTTAACCTGAGTAAATCCAGCCTCTTAAGGATGCGGTCCCCGAATTTGGACACAGCTTCTTCTTCAGGGTTTAACGGCAGCTGGCATCCTTGTACATGCAGTGCTGCCATCTTCTGTTTCAGTCCATTATTACACGCTTAAATCCTACTACTTATTCCTGCGTCTTTCGGGATCTTACAAAGCTTCAAACGACGCGGCGACTATTAAATTAGTCGTCAACGATTTTGATAGTCAACTAATCATGGCAGCCCTACTGTCTACTTTTGATGTGTGATGGAAATCGGTGAAGTGTACTGTTCGGTATACACAACACACCGCTAAATCAATTGCATCCAGGCTGCATGAACAGGAAACAGTTATTGATTACTACAAGTCTCAGAGAGAATGACCAATGAGAGCAGAGAGCAGGGGGAGACAACCAGCTTACCTGTTCTATCAGGTAAAGCAGAGGCGGCAGCCGTAATCAAAGTGTTTGTGACGTCTCACAAGCAGAAAACAGATTTATGCCTTCTGTCACCATCCACCGTGTGAACATTCCAGTATTGATTACTGGTCGCGTGTAAATGTGTGCAACGGTGGTTACCTCAGAGACGATGATATCCATCTGTCTGCGGAGTTTCCTCAGTGTATTCATCAGCTGTTCTGGATCTTTGTGGATTCCCACCCAGCAGCCATTCACAAAGATTTTAGTGGCACTAAAATGTTAAAGCAGGACACACATTACACACCTGCAGGGTAATTAATAACCTCGTCTGACTATGAAATGGTCACGGACTCTGCAATGGCCGCAGGTGAGATCTCCTCCAGGTTCTCCATGCTCCACTCCTCCAGAAACTCCAGGATGGGCGATGGCTGCGAGCCCACAGAGATGTAGGCCATCAGGGCCAAGTTCTTCACCAGCCCCACAGCGTGACCCTGCAAACCATCAACTCCACAATCAATACGCCGGATCGCTGTGTTAAAGGTGAATCAATCTTACAACTTGCCAGGTGAGCGTTACCTCGGGCGTCTCGGCCGGACACACCATCCCCCACAGCGTGTTGTGCAGCTGTCGAGGTTTCGCCAGTTTTCCATCTCGACCGATAGGAGAGTTGACCCGGCGCAGGTGAGACAGTGTGGATGCGAAGGTGAGACGGTTCAACACCTGTGAACACAAAAATGATGAGCATCAGTGGAGGTAGAGTGGCAGGTGTCAGGCTCTCATTTGTATTTCAGAGTGAGCATCAGTTTACAGGTAGGCTTACCTGTGACACGCCGGCTCGGGCCTGGTGAGCCTTCTTCACGTCACCCCAGTTACCTGTGGCAAGAGAGTACTTGAGCCCGTCAGAGATGATACGCGTCTTAATGGCGAGCTCTAGGTTGAAATCCTTCCCGCGGTCGATGAACTTCTGAGCATAGATCCTGATTTCCTTCAGCAGGTTTTTAAACATGCTGATGAGGAGGAGAAGAAGAATGATGTCATTCCTTCATCCAATCAGATTGCGAGTTCCAAACAGAAAGCTGATTAACAATAACAGCGTCACACTGGAAAGCCTTCTTTGAGTAACAGAACCTGCGTGTACACAAAATCTGCATGGTCGACAACAGAGAGTCCTCACCCTCGGAACAGGAAGGCCAGTAATGGCCCGGCGAGGTCCAGCCTCTTGTTGCCATAGTGATCTCTGTCATCCAGTTCCCGCCTGCCGAGAGCGGCGAGCAGCAACCTGTGCACCATGTACCTGAAAACACAAACACAGAAGGATTCCTGTCAAGTGCGTGACTCAGGTCAGCCTCAGGTGCGACAGTCAGCCTCAGGTGTGACTCACCCTAAGAAGTAGGCCTTCTTGGTCTCGCAGAAATCGCTTACGCCGACATGTGGCAGCATCTCCTTTTGCAGGACTTCCTTTGCGTATTTAATCCGTCGCTCCTTCGTCACACCGGGTTTTGCGCCTCGTGAGCCAATGAAGTTCAACGCCACGTTCTGCTCCTGGATCACAAAAGCTTCGTCCAGAGAGGGCTTCACCTGAAGTAGGCGGGGTTAAAAGTTACTACCTGCAGACTGAGACAATCAAAAAAAATCATTAATGCGTCGCAGACTGACCATCTCCATCATCTCAGGGTCATCAAAGTCATAAATGATATGTTCCAGGATGTCTCTGTCCGATACGAAGCCCAGTGCCCGGAACACGATGATGATGGGAACTTCCTGTCGGATGTAGGGAAGCGTGGAGACGATCCTCTGACCTATGGCGCTCTTCTTCACTCCCTGAGAGATTAACAGCAATCAACAATCAGTGGTCTGGGTCAATTGGCAGACAACGTTCTGTTTGCAACAACAGAAATAAGAGCATCGCTCATCTCTCTAACTCAATGTTATGAGCTCTTCTCAGTTAATCGCAGCCTGGCTTGGGTGCTCACTTCACTTCCTGCTTCCAGGTAACTCACCTGCCCTCCTCGAGCCATCATGCTGACCCAGATCGTGCTGGTTGGGCGGGATGAATTCTCCAGGCAGGATCGGCACTCTGCGGTGTACGCATACTTCGAGTCCTTCTTGGCAAACACGTACACCGTGTTGGTGGCCATCTTTTCCTGAGCGATCAGCACCTGGAAACAGTGACACATCTGTTTACACGGCTGCCTGATGCCACTGATGCGGTATCAGTGTATGACGCTCCATGTAAAACAATGCAAAGACATGAATGTGCGCCTGTTAGCTTGTAAGCAGGACACGGCGTGCGGGCGTAGCAGAATCATCGTTCTCTCGAGTAAGCAGCTCGCCACGCAATGATGTCAAAGCACACCTTTTCTGACCCATTGATGATGAAGTAACCTCCAGGGTCCAATGGGCACTCGTTGAGTTCGCACAGGTCTCGGTCAGTCAGGCCACTTAGCAGGCAGTACGTGGAGCGAAGCATGATGGGAATTTTCCCAATGAAGGTCTTCTGGTGCTGCGTCTGCAGCTGATCCTCTCCCTCCTTGATGATTGTCTTTGTGATGTCCACATACAGTGGCGCAGAGTACCTGAGGGGCAGGTGAAATGGGACAGGATATGAGAAGGGGTGAACAGGAAATGACAGCAAAGACAGGCGAGAGGTAAAACTCACGTCAGGTTCCTCAGCCGTGCCTCGTTGGGCATCATGGGAGATGGTGCTCCATCTCTCTCCCAGTGGGTGGGCTTAGACAGGTAGATCTGCTCAAACTTCAGGAGATACCGAGGCTACACCAAAAACACAGTGATGTCGGTGATGTAAATGGTAAATGGCCTGTATTTGTAAAGCGCTTAACTTAGTCCCTATGGACCCCAAAGTGCTTTACACATCCAGTCGTCCACCCATTCACACACTGGTGATGGCAGCTACATTGTAGCCACAGCCACCCTGGGGCGCACTGACAGAGGCGAGGCTGCCGGACACTGGCGCCACCGGGCCCTCTGACTACCACCAGTAGGCAACGGGTGAAGTGTCTTGCCCGAGGACACAACAACCGAGACTGTCCAAGCCGGGGCTCGAACCGGCAACCTTCCGATTACAAGACGAACTGCCAACTCTTGAGCCACGTCGCCCCATGTGACAGAGCGACCCCCCCCATTCTCAGTCACACCTGGTGGTACTCACCGGCTCCTCCACCTCCCCTGAGGTGTGCTGAGCTTCAGCCTGCAGGTCGATGGGCGGAGCATCCTCCACGATCCTCTGAACAGACATCTGAATGAACTCATCAAAGGAATCTAGTTGCTGCCGCACCAGCCCTTTCTCGTCAAAATAAGAGCTGAGAGAGAGAGAGAGAGAGAGAGAGAGAGAGAGAGAGAGAGAGAGAGAGAGAGAGAGAGATCAAAATAAGAGCTGTGCTGGCCCCGTCAGAACCTCACAGGCTCATGCCAGATTCTGCACTCAGTAAAAAAAATTTAAAAAAATACCCTGTCAGGCCATCGCATGACCCAAGCTTAACATCTACCTGTCCAGTCTCTGATCGATACTTCAATGTTGATCAGTGGACTGATCACTAGACCAGCGCTGGTCTGGTGTTGGTACAACTTTGATTCCTTACCTGCAGCTGAGTTCAAAATGGCAGACATGAACTGTTCTACAGAGCAGATGATCATTTAATTCAGTTTCAGATTTGTGGCAACAGATCTTCTTATAGCCTCTGACTTATCTCTGTGCTTGTCCTGCTAGACCTCAGTGAAGCGTTCGATACGCCCAACTATCTATCCATGAAGCCAGATAACACACGCTTATCCCTTTCAGGGTCCACAATGGCGGCGCCTATCCCAGCTGTCTTAGGGCGAGAGGCAGAGTACACCCTGGACAGGTTGCCAGTCTGTCGCAGGGCTGACAGATAGACACAGACAACCATTCACGCATACGGACAATTTAGAACGTCCAGTTAACCTATCCCCACTAGCTGGAGTACACGGAGAGAACCCACGCAAACATGGGGAGAACATGCAGTCGTAGATATATAGGATCTAACCAGACTCTTATTCTGGATTAGGGCTGCAGCTATGGATTATTTTACTAATCCGGTAAGATAAGAAATAACTTTGTCTTATAAATGAGCAATAATAAATATTCAAAAGAGGGAAAAACAAGAATTTTCAATTTGAGCTGCTCATTGGTTTCCATTTCAGTAACTGCAGGGTTTTTAAATAGTTTACTGCATATAACAGCTGACAAAAAAATTTACTCTTTGATTGTAATTGTGCAATATTAAAATTTAAAAAGGTCACACTAATAATATTAATATTATTAGTGTGACCTTTTTAAATTTTAATATTGCACAATTACAATCAAAGATACACACACACACACACACACACACACACACACACACACACACACACACACACACGTGTCTCAGTCAATTATAGATGATGTGAGAGGGCGGGTGTG